GCCCCAGGAGGGCGAGGGCGAAGTGGATGCAGTTGCAGGTGACGGTGTCGTACTCCACTGGCTGGTCCATGGCCGCCCGGACCCGCCGCTGCAGGGCGGCCACGTCCAGCCCTCCCTTCCTCCGGAGCACCTTGGCCGGGCCCCGTGTCCGCAGGAGGTGGCTCTTGCCGTGCTTAGCCACGATGCCTGAGGGTGACGTCCCTGAGCTGCCTGCAGGGCAAAACGGACTCTGTACCCCATGTCCCTTCCGTGGAGATGTCCCCGTGCCATGGCAGCTCCTGGGGCTCACCTTCCAGGTGGATGATCTCCCCGTCACCGCAGTAGATGCCAGCGTGGGCACCCCACCAGCCAGGGCCTCCGGAAGCCAGTGGGAAGAGGAAGAGGTCCCCAGGCTGGGGCTCAGCCACCCCGTTGGGGACCGTGTTGAAGTGTTGTCCCAGCAGCCCCTCGCAGAGGAAGAACCCTGCCGTGGTCACTGCCCCAGTCACTGCCTGGGAAGCCAGCTGTGTTTCAGGGCCACCGGTGCCCTGGGGACACCAGCAGCATCACTGACCTGCTGGCTTATCCCACATCCTTGGTGGCTTAAGCACAGCTTGGGTCTCAGATCTCCAAGGATGGAAACCCTTTGGGAAGGGGCTGCCTGCTCTAGGTGCTGAAGCACCCATGGGTGCCCAGGAAAAGGCAGGGTGTGCAGGATTCAGCCCAGTTGTGCCAGGGGTGAGATGGCAGTGCAGGGCACAGGGGCAATGCCAGCACTTACCTGCCTGGAGCTGCTCACCTGGAGGGACAAACACCTTGCATCAGCCCCAGTGGCACCCGTGTCACGGCTCAGCCCTGGTCTGGGCTGCTGCCACCCCCTGCCCAAGCACCTGGCTGGGATTCTCATGCCAGCACCCCCAAACCCGCCATACCCAGGAGCCCAGCCAGTGCCAGGGCTGGAGGAACAGCCAGTCCGGGGCTTGCAGGGTCTGGAGGAAGGAGCTCACCTGTGGGGAGAGCGGGCAGGACAAGACGGGGACCCGTCCCCCTTCTGACACCCGTCCCCTGCCACCACCCATCTCTGCCAGCACGCTGTCCAGCCCAGCCCAGCCTCCCAGAACACACCTCCCTCCCCCCTGCCCGGACCCAGCACCTGGCAGGTCCCAGCTGTGGGGTCCAGGGGCACTGGGTGCTATGGCAGAGGGGTGGGATCACCTGGATGCAGGTGTCCTTCCTGCCAGCTCCCCCTTTACCTGAGCGAGGAGATTCATCTGCAAGGAGAAAACACAATGTCCGAGAGCTGGGGGCAGGCACCCCGTACCTGGGGGACTTCTCTGTCCCCACAGTTTTGGTGACATGTCACCCTGCTGAAACCCAAGCTGCAGCCTCAGAGCTCGTTCTCTGCCTCACCTTGGGGTCACCTCCAAGGTCCCTCACTGCACTGTGCTTCCCAAGCTGCCGCTGCTCCAAAGGTGGCTGCGGGGCAGGAGCTCAGCCCACCCCGTGAGCACCGCGGTGGCTCTTGGCAACGGCACATGGCTCCACCGGTGCCTGGGAATGTGCCCTGACCGGCTGCACCGTGGCACTGTGCCCACCCTGTAGGGCCAGTCCCAGGGGGACAAACCCAACCTGGTGTGACATTTCATCCACAAACCTCTTGGGTGACTCCAAAGGAGCCAGGAAACAGCCCTGTGGCCACAATGCTTTGGTAAGCACTGACCACCAGGCTTATGACAAATCACCTCTTGGTGCCAAAACCCTCTGGCCCTGCGAGGCCATCAGCCCGTACCCAGCCCCATGTCCCAGGGATGGCCACCAGCCTGTCCCCAGCCCTGTTGCCCCAGAATGGTGCATGCCCGGGGTCAGCTCCAGAGTCACATTAAACTTTAATCCTGGTGCCGGGGGTCAGTGAAGGCTTTAGCCGGGCTCAGGTGGGTGACTGTCACCCTCTGTCATCGGGCAACCTCCAAAGAATCATTTATCAAGGAGCCTCCAATAAACAAGAGCTAATTACAGGTGAAACCTGAGCCTGGCCTGGACCCAGCTCAGTGCAGGCGGCCACATTAACCCTTCCCAGCCACCTCCAGTCCCACAGCCACCCTCCTGGAACTTCACCTCATCTTCTTGTTGGTCTTGTCCCCTTGATCTCCACCATCCTCTCCTGGTCACTGTTGCCTTGCCCACATGCACCCGTCACACCCTTCTCATTCCCATCCTCCCCTCCCAGTCCCCATCATCCCATCTCAGTCCTTACTATCCCCTCATGATCTCCATTCACCCTATTGCATCTCACTGCCCTCTCATGATCTCCATCACACCTTCCTGGTCCCCATCATCCTCACATGGTCCCTGTTGTCATGTCCTGGTCTCCATCATCCCTTCCAGGTCACTGCTGTCACCTCCTGCTCTTCCCATTTGTCATTGTCTCGAGGTCACTGTCTAAACATCCAGGTTCCCATTGTCCCCTCATGATCCTCATTATTGCCTCCCAGTCCTCATCACCTCCTTCTTGTTCCCATTACCCCGTCCTGATCCTTGTTGTCACCTCTTGGTCCTTATCATCTCCCCTCCCGCCCCCATCGGCTCCTGTTGGTCTCCATCATCCCCTCCTGGTCCCCACTCTCACCCCTTGATCCCCAATATCTCCTCCTGGTGCCTATCATGTTGTCTTTGTCCCCATTGTCTCCTCCTTGTCCCCACTGTCCTGTCCCATTCCCCACCACTCTGTGTCATCACCAACAGGAGTGGGACTTCCAGGACAGTGGTGCTTCCCTGGATCACTCAGTGTCCCCAGCCAAGCTGTCCCTAGCCAGGGTCCATCCAGCAGCTCCCCACAGCCAGTGGGATTAGGGTGGCTGGAGCCCTGGGGCTGCTCCTGACCACAGGTCTCAAGCCCATCGCCAGCATCTTTAGGTAATTAGTAAATTAGTAATTAAATGCTCTCTGCTGGGGGGAAGGGGGCCAGATCCCAAGGTTTTAGGCTGGGTAATCCCGTGGCATCTGCCCCAGCATCTGTGACGGAGCCGAGTCACGACCCTGCCTCGGGTTTTAACGTTTGCTCCTTCACCCCCACCCACCACCCACAGCCCCTCGGCCGTGACGCCAGGCCTGCTCGTGTGGCACCCAAAACAGGCTGGGCTGGGCTCCCAGCAGTGCCCAGCTGGGTGCTCATGGAGCCCTCATCACCGGGAAGAGGACAGGGTGCTGCTCCAGGGGGAGCCCACCACAGGGACAGCACCCAGCTGGGTGCAATGGAGAAACGGGGTGGGAAACCATATTTTCGTGATTATTGGCTTTCCTGGGGGTGTTGATGATTGGCTGGCAGCAGATGGTTGGCCCAGCTAATCCCCCTCCCAAATCCCTGCTCCAGAGCTGGCTTTTACCCAGCGGCAAGGAGGGGACAGCAAATTAGCCGAACTCAGCTGTGCCGCCATGCTGGCCGCTCCCCGCTGCCCCGGCACGGCCGAGGGTGTGCCCGCGGGTGGGCTGGCACGCCGGGATGCCCGTGTTCCTGGCACCCCTGGGCTGGGCACCGGGGAGTGTTCCACCCTTGGGTGAGAGGTGTGGAGGCACCCAGGGGCCGGGCAGGGAGGTGACAGCTTGCTCCTGCTGCATTAGCCCAGCGTCATAATTCTGCCGCGGGAGGAGGAGGCGGCCCCGCCGCAGATGGTGGCGGTCAGAGATCTGGGTCAGGACGGGGCTGTGGGTGGGACAGGGCACCATGGGGAAATGGGGGTCCCAGGGTGGGACCTGGGGGCTGGAAGGGCATGGAGCCGTGGTGCAGGCAGGGATGGGGCCATGGTGCAGGCAGGGATGGACCATGGTGCAGACAGGAAGGATGGTGGAGCCACGTAGTCAGGATGGGTGATGGAATGTTGCTGCACATGGGAACATGGAGCCATGGTGCAGACTGTTAAGATGGAGAAACGCTTCAGGCAAAAGGGGTGGAAGTAGGTTGTCGGCAGGAGGATGGAGCCATGCGGCAGGCAGGGGGATGCAGGAATGCTGCAGGCAGCGGGGATGGAGCCACATCAGTCGAGAATGCCTCAGGGGTGACCCCCAGCCCCTGGATCCGCTGGAGTCACTGCTGCCAGCCCTCAGCAGGGACCTGCTGCCAGGGCCTGTCCCCTGAGACACCTATAGACATCAACACCCCTGAGCCCCTCTGGAAGGGGCACAGCAGGCCGGGAACCCCTGTCCTCAGCCTGGCCCATCGCTGGGGACAAGCCGGGCCCGTGACGGTGGCCACCCGCCACCCCCCTGAGCGGGGCGGGGGGGGTTTAGCGGCTAAAGCCCGCAAATCCCAAATTGTGCTGCCCTGTCACCGCGAGGGTTTAGCGGTGGTTGCATAACCCCGGGGCCACCTGGCCCCCACCCTCTGCCGTGTCAGCAGCCCCAGCCTCCGTGGAGGGCCCCGTCCCCGGGAGGGGATGCTGAGGCACGGCGGGGCCCCTGTTGAGCATCCCCACTCCCCTCGCCATCAGGGCCGGTAATTAATTACTTGGGGGCAGGGAAATTACCCCCCTTAATTACCACTTTTCGTTATTCCCCTCTAACCGCCTTAGTGAAGGGCTTATGCGCTTACAGGACCTGGTGGGTCCCAAGGGGAGGACGACACACACGGGGGGTCCCCAGCCCCATCTCCCACCTCCGCCGCAATCTCGGCCTCGCAGTGCTGGGGGGGTTGGACTGCCGGGGTGACACCCCCACTGTGCCCGCGGCGGCGCGGGGGGGTGGCTTGGGTGTCGCGGGGTTTAGGGTTACAGGGCTGGGGCTCAGCACCTTTTTAATTCTTCATCGCGTGGCTGATTGATCCCCCCCGCCCCGCGCAGACACTAAAGATTAAGAGGGTGACAAAGAGGCGGCTGCTTACACAGCGCCCGCCGCTAAGCCGCCTTGAAGAGAGCAAGGCAAGAGCCCCTTTGGCCGCAGAGCTGCAGGAGCACCCACCGCCTGCCAGAGCCTCCGCGGGGATCCACAGGGACGGGACAGACGGGGATAGGTCGGGAGCGCCGGGTGCGGGATGGCTGCGTCCCCGGCCGGGTCGGTGGTGAGCGCCGGGCTGGATGAGAGTCCCACGGGTAAGAGGTGGCTCTGCTGGACCGGGTGAGACTCGGAGGGACACGGGTTTTTCTCTGGGATGGCCGGGCCCCCACTCTGGTCACTCCCCAAGATGCCTGTGGGCCTCTTCGTGGTTCTCCTCTGGGGTACTTGGAATCCCCATAGTGGTCAATCACCAAGATACTTGGGGTCCTCCACTGCAGTTTTTCCCTGAGATGCCTGGGATCATCATGGCCTTCTTCTGGATGCCTTTGGTCCCCGTCATGGTCCTTCTGTGAGATATCTGGGGGTTCCTATTATGGTTCATCTCCAAGACACCTGGTGTCCTCATCATAGTTGTTTGGGAGGTTTGGGTTCTCCATTGCCAACCTTTTCCAGAATGGCTGGGCTTCTCCTCATGGTCCTTATCCTGGGTGCCCAGGGTCCCCATCATGGTCTGCTAACATGCCTGGGGTCTTCAGCTGCCATCCTTCTCCAAAATGCTGAGTCCCCATCATGGTCCTTCCCTAGGCCAGGATGCCTGCAGTGCCCGACCCTCTCCATGGTCCTCATTTGTGTTCATTCTCCAGGATCCCTGAGGACCCCAGCTATGCCCCTTCTCCAGGATTCCTGGGGTCCCCTGTAAAAACCCTCTCCTGGATATCCTTGGTCCCTGGCCCTTCACCAGGATCCCCACAGTTCCCTGCTGTGACTCTTCTCTGGGGTGTCCATGTCCCCAGAGCTGTCCCTTCTCCAGGATTCCTCCCATCCCTTATTGCAGCCCTTCTCTGGGATGCTTAGTCCCCTTCCTGGGATGCTTGGTGTCCCCATCCCTAAAAACACCATTTCATCCCTTTTTTAATTTTCAAAATTCCTGTGAGAGCCCATCCTGCATCACTCTGTGTGCTGGGGTGTGGGGAGATGGTGAACCCCGCGTGGAGTCCCTGAGGTGTCCCCGTTCGTGTCCCTGGGCTGAACCAGCAGAGGCAGGAGCCACCCCATCTCCAGGATGCTGGGGGGCAGCAGGGGCAGGTGGGTGGGACGAGGGACATTGGGATGCCCAGAGTCAACCCAGATGTGACAGTTCCTCTCCCACAGGGCTGAGCCCAGCCCCTGGGAAAGAGCTGAGCCCGGTGCTGCTGTGCAAGGTGTGCGGGGACACCAGCAGTGGGAAGCACTACGGCATCTACGCCTGCAATGGCTGCAGCGGCTTCTTCAAGCGCAGCGTCCGCAGGAAGCTCATCTACAGGTGGGAACAGGGAGTGCCCATGGGGCAGGGAGTGGGGGGACAGAGGGGCAGGGACCCTGCAGAGGGCATCCAGGGGGACAAGAACCAGGGTCTCATGGACAGACACCATGGAGGAAAGGACACCCCACAGGGCAGGGACTCCAGGAATGTCCAGCCAGGGTGTCAGGGATCCAGGGGATGGACACAGTGGGGCAGGAGTGGGGGGAGCAGGCACCCAGCAGGGTACGGACATCCAGCAGAGCAGGGACCCCATGGGATGGGGCACCCAGAAGGAAAGGGACCAAGAGGGACACTCTGTGGGACAGGGACTTTGCAGACGGACACCCAGCAGGACAGGGAGCTTGGGGCAGGCCCCAGTGGGGTCGGGTACCCTGGGATGGACACTTGGCAGGCCAGGGACCCCAGGGCATGGGGTGTGGGTGGGGTAGAGACCTAGGGGGACTTAAAATCATACAGGAGACAGGCATGCAGGGAGAGAGGCACCTGTGGAGAAGGTGCCAGAGCCCCCTGATGGGGCCACAACACCCACCAAGGCAGAGCATTCACTGGGACAAGGCACCCACTGGGGACAGGACACCTCTTGGGGACAGGGAGGGAACCCATGGGGAGAGACATGGTAGACATGGTACCTGTGAGGGAGGACCCTTCTCGGGGACAGGGGCCACCTCAGGGGCTGCAGCCATGTGCCACCTCTCTCCATAGGTGCCAGGCCGGGACAGGGCTGTGCCCAGTGGACAAGGCTCACCGCAACCAGTGCCAGGCCTGCCGGCTCAAGAAGTGCCTGCAGGCTGGCATGAACAAGGACGGTAAGATGGGGGGGGACACACAGTGACAAACAGCAGCGGGGGACAGCGGGGTGGCCGGTGCTGATGCCACCTTGTCTGCGCAGCCGTGCAGAACGAGCGCCAGCCCCGCAGCACGGCCCAGGTCCAGCTGGACAGCATCCAGCTGGATGCGGAGCTGCCCCCTGAGCACGTGGCCACCACATGTGAGGTCCCCCCATCACCATGTCCGGCTCCTCGTGGTCCTGGTGCCACTGTCACCCCGGGTCCCCGAGCGCCCACACCACCCACCAACCATCGCTTCATGGCCAGCCTGATGACGGCCGAGACCTGCGCCAAGCTGGAGCCCGAGGACGGTGGGTGGCTGCCAGTGGAGAGGGGGGCGGGTGGGTGGTGGATGCCCCCACGGTGTGGTGACAACCAGCGTCCTCTTTGAACCCTGCAGCTGATGAGACGGTGGATGTGACAGGCAGTGAGCCGGAGCGCGCAAGCGGCGAGTACCAGGTGGCGCCGTACCCGGCAGCCAGCCCCGAAAACATCTACGAGACCTCAGCACGTCTCCTCTTCATGGCGGTGAAATGGGCCAAGAACCTGCCCGTCTTCTCCAACCTGCCCTTCCGTGACCAGGTGGGGTTGGCAGTCTCCATGAGGAATTGGGGATCTGCCTATGGGGCAACAGGAACCCCAAAAGAAGTAGCAGCCAGTTGGAGCTTATCCACGACATTCTTAGGGTTCTCCTGCAGATACTCATCAGCCCAACCAGCTGTGGTGGCTACAGGTCCTGGAGACTTTGGGCATGACAGAGATTTTGGGGTTCCTCCTGTTCTCCCCAGGTGATCCTGCTGGAGGAAGCATGGAGTGAGCTGTTCCTGCTCTGTGCCATCCAGTGGTCCATGCCCCTGGAGAGCTGCCCGCTCCTGGCTGTCCCTGAGCCGGGCCCTGGGAAGCTGCTCCCGGCCACCCTGGACGTGCGGGCGCTGCAGGAGACCCTTGGCCGCTTCAAGGCGTTGGCTGTTGACCCCACGGAATTTGCCTGCATGAAGGCCGTGGTGCTCTTCAAACCAGGTGAGGCCACCCCCAGCAGCCACCAGTGGCCATCCCCGTGCCCCTCCCCAGGCTGTCACCCCCTTGTCCCTGCAGAGACGCGTGGCCTGAAGGACCCTGAGCAGGTGGAGAACCTGCAGGACCAGTCACAGGTGATGCTGGGCCAGCACAACCGTTCCCACTACCCTGGGCAACCCGTCAGGTACTGCTGTCCCTACATCCCCACGGGTGACACCAGGGCGGGTCACCCACCCATGGCCACTGCTCCATCCCCCAGGTTTGGGAAGCTGCTGCTGCTCCTCCCAGCGCTGCGCTTCATCTCCTCGGAGCGCGTGGAGCTGCTCTTCTTCCGCCGCACCATCGGCAACACCCCCATGGAGAAGCTGCTGTGTGACATGTTCAAGAACTGAACCCCCTTCCGCTGTCACCTGGCGTGTTTGTCACCCTGCGCTGGCACCCTGTCACCCCCACCCTGGGTCTCCTCACCCTGGGCTGTGAAGGTGCCCGTGGTCCCATCCCTGGGGCAATGTCCAGGACCATGGAATGCTGCCGGCAGCGGGGAGGGGGAGCAGCTTCCCTGGGGATGGAAGGGGGATGTCCCCAAGTGCGTGCCCAGGGCACTGGCACCCTGGCACCACGGGGACCTGGTGCCACCCAGGGGCAGCCTCGGGGACACTGACCCAGGGGCCAACTGGGTGTGACATCAGCCAGGGTGACAAGAGCCAAGGGTGGTGCCAGCCCGGGAGTGACACCAGCCCGGGGGTGACAACAGCCAAAGGCGGTGACACCGGGGGGTGACACCAGGCTGGGACAGCCTCAGGTTGATCCCAGGCCAGGGCTGACACTGGACAGGGTGACCCCAGCCCGGCGTGACACGCAGTGACAGACCCTTGTCCCTGTGCTCCGGGGTCTCCCACTCGTGTCCCCCATTTTATACTCGGAATAAAGAGAGTTTTGCAGCCAGAGTCCCTGTGCCAATGACTTGGGTCCCCTTGGATGGGGGACTGGGAGGATCAGCTAAATGTTCATAACCCAAATAGGAATAAATAAAAATCAATATTCTGAATGTAAGTACCTTGAAAATAAATTATCTGAATGGAAGTAAACTAAATGTAAGTAAAATTAATATAAAGAATCTGAATTAAATAATCAATATAAGGAAGATAAATAGAAAAATAGGAATAAAAATAAAATGAAAATAAATAACCTGAAATTATCTGAATATAAAAAAGAGAAATATAAATAATCTGTTTGGAAATATTCTATTGTGAAGAATCTGAATAATTTAAATAGAAATATAATGAAACTAAACAAACTGAAATTCTCTGAATAGAAATTAACTGAAAATAAACTATCTTGGTAGTTTAGTAGATGAATAAGAATAATCTGACTGGATAAAAGGGAATTAAATAGTACAGACACAAAATGAAATTAAATAATCGTAATAGAAATAAAATGCTTGTAAATTATTGGAATATAAATATCTGCTTTGAAATCTCCTTAAATAATCTGAATAGAAAGAAAATAAAACTAAGTGAGCTGAAATAATAGAAATAAATTGAGAATATACAAACTGCATCTAAATAAGAGAAACATAACGACTCATTGGAAATTAACTGAATTAAATTATGTGGACAGAAATAAAATGAAATAATCTGAATAGAAATAAATTGAAAATAAATCGTCTGAATATGAACAGTCTACCTAAAACTAATCTATAGAAATAGAAATATGAAATAATCTGATAGAAATAATCAGAAATTATCTGCATACAGAAAAATTGAAAATAAATTGTCTAAATAAATAAAATAAAATTATCCAATTAAAAATAATTTGTATATAAAGAATCTGTATATACATAAATAAAAAGAATGTGAATAACAAGTAAAACAGAAATTTTGTGCACATAAATAATGAGAATGTGAATAACCAGCATTAAACAATCCGAAGGGAAGTGGCTCCCCATCCCAGCTCCTCCATCCACGTGATTGGGATCAGGAAAATCCACAACTGCAGAACCCCATGGAACAAATGGAACAAGCCCCAGAGCCCTGGGACGTGGGCAGGGAGTGGCAGGAACGATGTCCCACTGGGAATTCTTGGCCTTTGCAGAATGACACTTTTATTTGTCCGTTTTTGTCAGTTTGTACAAGATTCCGAGCGCGGGCGCCGCGGGATAATATATCCTCTTCCATACAGACTCTGTTTAGTTTACAAGCAGCGACTTTATAAATTACTTAGAAAACTTTCCATGAAAAATAACAATAATTCCCCTCGCAGCCCTCCAGTAGTCAGTACATTCAGCCCTCTGGAAAACCCTCTGGGAGCCCAAATCCTGCCAGGGAAGGGCTGGGAAGGAGCGGGGGGTGCCGGGGAAGGGGACCCTGGAACATGCCATTATCCTCCAGTCCTGCTCAGCTCCTGCCACAGCTGGATTTTATATATATATATATGTATATATTTCTTTTACATGTGTTTTTCTTTATACATAAACCCACAAATATATTATATATATAAAGAAACATATTTTCTATATATTCTATATATATTCCATACATTTATCTCTGTCAAGAAGTCTGTTTTCTTTATATATTTTCCCTACATTCCATACATTTTTACATAGATGAAGAAATAGAGAGAAAATATATTTCTTTATATATACTATATATTTCTTTTATATATTTCTTTACAGAGAAATACACTCTTTATATAAAGAAATATATAAATATGTGAAGAAACATATATAAACATACATGTTAAACATATATTAAATATATGTTTAAATCATATAACATTAAATATGTTTCTACATAGAGAAGAAATACATTAAAATATATATAAAGTAATAAATATTCTTTGTATATAGTACATATCTCCTTTATATATATATTTCCTTATATATAGAAATATGTGAAATATATACATAAGGAAATATATAATTAATTTCCTTTATATACTTCTTTATATATAAATATATAAGCATATATACATAAAGAAATATGTATTCTTTATATATAGAATATCTTATATATTTATACATAAATACGTACTATATATAAGAAATAGAAAATACATAAATGTATTTAGTCTTAATATTCTTTCATGTATTTTTTAATTATACAGAGAGTATTTATTATTTTGTGTGTATATTTTCTTTATATATAGAATATATATTATTATATATGTTCTTTATATATATAAATACCACTTAAATATATTTTCCTTATATAGAGATTAAATACATATAAGGAAAAGAAATATATTCCAAAAGAAATTAGATACATATACACATATATACACACACATATATACACACATAGATGTGTGTGTGCGTATATATATGCATATATATGTATTTATGTGTATATATATGTATATATATATATTTGCCCCAGTCAGATCTGACATCCCTGCTCTCATCCCACGGGGATGAGAAACCTGAGGACGAGGCTGGACCCTTCACTCATGCCAGGATCTCCTCCCCTGGGGCCATTTTAGGGGCAGTTCTGGGGTTTTTAGTTCAAGAGGCTCAGAAGGCTGGTTTGGCACCAAGCACTCGGATGCTCCCAGCAAACCCAGCTCCCAGGGAATTTGGGATGGCTCCCCAGGAGTTTCCACTGTTATGGTCACCATCTGCCTTCCCAGTGCATCCGTGTCTGTCCCCAAAGCCCTATTTTCCCCTCTGGGACAGGGAAAATGCCATTTTCCCCCATGGATGGGGGTGACTGACTTGGTCTTGCTCCGCTCCCAGGATGCAGCGCCGAGGCCGATGCTGTTCCCACTCTCCCTGCAGCACCTGTCACTTCCCCCGTTGGAAAAAAATTAAAGATAACATGAAAAAAAAAGTCAAACATCAAATAAAAAATTACCCCAATAAATAAACCATCCCTGGAAAGGGCAGGGGGAGAGGGGACCGAGGAGCAGCTCAGCCAAATCCAGTCATGCCAGGAAAAGACAAAACACTCAGGAAAACTCACTTTTTTGCTATTTTCCCCATTTTTGGTGGCATGTCAGGAAAGGATGAGCCCCAGTCCAGCCCACCTAGGAGGACAGATCCAGCCTTTGTAAATCTAATTATTGCCCTGGGGCTCCTGATTTTGCCTTTCCAGAGGTTTTCTGGGACCCAGAGCTTCTCCAGGTGCCACTGAGGATGATGAGACTGGGGAGGGATTACAAACTGAGTCAGTAACTAGCACAATTAATTAGTCCTATGATGGGTTATGATGGTATAATTACACCTCCAGGGATTTCCTGCTGAGAGTAAAACTCCATGTTTTTATGGAGTGATGGCCAGTGACACCAGTGGTGACACCAAGGATGGCTCAGTCAATTGCTCCCCTCCTCTCCCGCCCAAAAATAATAATAACAATAATAATAATAATAGTAAAAAAAAAAAAAGAAAAAAAAAAAAAGAAAAAAAAAAGAAAAAAAAAGAAGTTCTGTCTGGGGAAAATATTAAAAAAAATTAAAAAAATATATATTTACACAAAACTCCAGGAACCAGCATATAAACAAATATCGCTTCAAGTAGTCCTCGATTATTATTAATTATTATTATTTTTTAATACTGATGATCTCAAAAAGGGAAAAAAAAAAAAAAAAGGAAAGAGGGTTAGGTCTCGTTAAAAAATAAAAAAACCAAAGGGAAAAGGTGATTTTTGGCAGGTTTTAACACTTTTCCATGCACTTGGCGTTGGCGTGGATGAGGTGGTTAAAGCGCGGAGGGCTCGGCTGCAGTGGAGCCAGCTCGGGATGCTCCCGTGGGATTCTGAGGCTTGCTTTGCTCCTACCAACAGGCGATGGCGATTCGGCACAAGGATTTGGCGGCGGATGCTCCGAGGGGAAGGGCCAGGAGCCGCTCAGTGCCTCCCATCCCCGTCCACCCCCCGGCCACCCAAAGGTCTCAGCTCCCCCAAATCATTAAGGCCACCATTAAAACCGTCCCCTCCCGGCCTTTTTAATTAAGAATTCATCTCCTGGCGTTAACGAGGAAGCCATCAGAGCACTGCCAATGGGGAGGATGCCCCGGCATGGATGTGGCTCCGGGTGGAGCATCTCAGACCATGAACTCGTTGCTCCCCAGGAGGACAAGGGGTTGGGCGGCGGCGCAATCGGCCTCAGGGTTCCTCTTGCGTCCCCCTCCAGGCCCCCCATCCGGGGGCTCTTTGGTTTTTGGGGGGGAAGATTTCACACTCTTCAGTTTCTGTTTGCCTTTCTCTGGGTTGAAGGTCCCCCGCGTGGTGAACTGCGGCCGGTCCTCGGGATGATGGAGAGGCCCCGTCAGGCCCTCGGGGCTCGCCCGGGTTTCGGGGGCCTCGCCGTGTCCCCCCGCTCGGTAGAAAGGAGATTTGGAGTACATCTGGAAGCGCTTCCGGGGCAGGTGGGGCAAGCAGGAGGTGGATGACTGGGAGGAGGAGGAGGAGGAGGAGATGG